AGTTGGATGCCATTATTCTGAGTGAAGTAATTCAGGAATGGAAAACCAAATACTGTATGTTCTCACTTATAAGTGGGAGCTACGCTGTGGGTACACAAAGGCAGACAGGGTAGTAGAATGGACTTTGAAGACTCAGAAGGGGCAGAGTGGGAAGGGAGTGAGGGATAAAAAGTTACCTATTGGGTGTAATGTACACTACTTGGGTGACACGTGCACTAAAATATCTGATTTTACTTCTATACAATTAATTCATGTAACCAAAAATCACGTGTATTCCAAAGTCTATTGATTGTTTTAAAAACATTAATAAAATAAAAGATGTAAAAAAAGAAATTTATATATACTCATTTATTAAGCTCCCACAATTAACGTTAGGAGGTAAGTACTTCATAATTGGTAGTATACTTATCTTTTATTAAATAATTGTATTACTTAGGAAGTTTAGGGGTGGGGAGAAGTAGCAAGGTACTATGATTTGGGGCAGATAACTAACCTTTATTTATTGGCACATACAGTTTGGACCACGAGACACTAGCCAAGGTCCGTCGTCCTCACCTAATCAAAGATGAAATATGTGGGATGAAGTAATGAGCAGCCCAAGCTGAGTTTGCAGACCTAAGTATAAAGCAACAATGGATATGTCAGAAGGCTACTAGGGTGTTATTTATTTAAATCTATTTCATGGAATTGACTACCACCTTAATGGCCCGAAAGTGTTAAAGTATGTCCCAGAGTACTGAATTACTCCCTAAATGTAATTTATGCTTGAGAATAATCTGACTAACTTGATTTAGAACAGCAGGAAATAAGTTATGCTGCACATAAATGAAGCAGCAGTGTAATTTTAAATACCAGTTGCATAGTGAATGAGAATTTTAATATTTGCAAAATTCTAAAATCACTTGATTTATTATCCATATGTTTATACTGACATTTTTTGCCCTTTATTAAGTTCCATCTATATTTCTTCTTACTGCCAAGAAAAAAAACTTTTTTCCTAGAAATATTACAGAAGGCAAAAGTTATATTTGTTTCCCTGAATGCTATTTTTGATGTCTCTACTTGTTTCTAGTTGTTACCATTTTCTTCATTCGTGGGCAGTCCAATTAATGGAGCAAGAAAAATTTAGGGAGGACAGTGACTAATTAGATATTAAATTTATAAATCTAACATTGTAAAACCAGAAAAAAATATTTTTTTTTCATTTGGAAGTTTCCTTGGTGGAAAAGAGTTTAAGTTTATAAGTAGTCATGATAAAAAATGTAATTTTACGTAGTAAATTCAAGAACATATTAAATTCAGCACATATTAAATACTGAAAAGTGTATTTTAAAATTTTATGTGAGGCTTCAAATGGAGTTTAAAGTATTATTACTCACATTAAATGTCATCACATGTAAAGCCCATGATTTTATTCTTTAATATTTTGTTTGAATAGTTACTTATTTCAACAGTAATTTCAATAATAAAATTAAATCAACTTTACAGTTTTCAAAGGTTTAGCAGTTGCATGCTGTAATAAATACTTCATATTTATATATTTATAAAGTAACACCGTAAGTCATTTTTATTAGGTCCTTGAGGATGCAAAAGTTTGGATTATATGAGGAGACAAGAGAAAAAGGGAAGAAGGGTATTTCAGAAATATGCTATTGATACGCAAATTCACAAGTCCTAAGGCAGAAGCAGGGGTCGGGCAGGAAGTCCATCCTGCCTCCCTCTTGTGGGCCTGCAACAATGATGTAAATGGAAGGCCTGTTCCCCTTCTCTTCCTACCTCCAGCTCTGTCTTACAGAGCTATGGGTACCATGATCAAGTATATGAACCCTTATAGTTTTCTTCTCTGGGAGAATGTAAAGGAAAGATAACTTGTAGAAAGGAAAAGAATTCAGGGTGAGAGGGGGATTTGTTGAATTTGGTAGAGGATGGCAACTATCAGTGTGATGAGTGATTGAGAAACAAGTCTGTGCAACAGGTTTGAAATTGAAAATCTTTAAGGTATACAGGATCCTGAAATGAAGAATGGGCATTTATAGCAGTATGTTGGAGAAACAGTCACCTCCTAGTAGCTAAAAATGTTGGCAAAAGTATAGTTCAAGTGATTGGGTAGGAAAAGCAGCAAACCAAGAGTGGGGACTGATGGTTGCTACAAAGGTGGAGTGGTAAGTCATGACCAACTGGTGCTTCTCTGAGCTCTGGTTAGCTGCTGACTGTTTCTCAGACTGTGGTAGCAGGAGGAGGGTTGGAGTTAGCAGTCATTAGCATATGAGACTGCCATTTAAAAAAATTTTTATTCTATTTTTCTGACTCAAAATATGAAAAGCACACTGTAGACAAATTGAAAAATATAGAAAAATCATGAGGTCAGGAGATAGAGACCAACCTGGCTAACACGGTGAAACCCCGTCTCTACTAAAAATAAAGAAAATTAACTGGGCATGTTGGTGGGCACCTGTAGTCCCAGCTACTCGGGAGGCTGAGGTAGCAGAATGATGTGAACCCAGGAGGCAGAGCTTGCAATGAGCCAAGATCACACCACTGCACTCCAGCCTGGGTGACAGTGCGAGACTCCATCTCAAAAAAAAAAAAAAAAAGTATATAATAAAATTAAAAAATATATAGTCTCACCAGTATGGAACAATGCTACCTATGTTGCATAGTTTTTTTAGATTCCCATTCAAAAGCAACTCTTTGACTCCCGTGATGCAAATACATGTGCAGTTCGTTTTTAAAGGGAATAAACTCTTAAGATATATTGATAGGTCATTTATTGTATGTTATATACCACTGAAAATACGTGAATGCTAAATCATTACTAAACATGCAAAAACATTCCTAGGATCATTTTGTTGTGGAAGGATATAATGTATCTGAATAACTCTAGAATACCATTAATTATCAAAGGCAACATTCTTACTTTTCACTAACTGTAGTTAGAGAATAGCTCTTTGGCTACCTTCGGTTGCCTTTTTTATGCTACCAAAATGCTATCTGTTTTACATGATTTTAAAGGTTAAGCATATAATTATTCATTAAATACAATGTCTGAAAGAATGCAATGTACATGTAGATACATTCTTAAATTTTAGGTAGTTAATAAAAATAAGGGGAAAAAGACTCTAGAACTATCACTTTCAATTGTTTAACTGCTAAGGTGAAACTTCATCTTGGAAAAATAAAATATTTCACAGGAGAGCATGTGCAGTGGTAGAAAGGTGCCATTGAAACAAGAGATATTTGGGTTAGAAGCCTCTCTCTACTACTATTTAATACCATTTTCACCTTTCGGCAAATTACTTGACCTCTGTTTTCTCCAATGGAAAATGGGAATAATAATTGCTATGCTGCAGGGTTATTGTAGGTGTCGATGAAATGATATGCCTGACACTGTAAAAGCACAGAGCCCGGTGCCTGGCTATTAGTAATTGTTTCATAAATGTTAATTCATTTCTCTGCCCAGTACATCAGTAGGCAGATGTAGCAATTTTAAAATTCTAGTGTTACTTTAAATTCCTGAATGAAGGTAGAGGACTGTAAAGATATCATGATATTCAAAAGTATGATCCATTGCTTCTTAAGAATAGAGTTCAGAAAAGCTTGACAGATTCCTGTACTCTGAGGCAGCACCATAGCCAGTAATCTTTAGGATGGCTTTTGGTTTAGTGCTCACAAATGCTTGCTTGAACAGGCCCCAGGAGATCTGGTAGACTGTAAGTCCAATAAGATTTCAAATCTTACTTTATAGCAGTGTTTTTCACCTTGACTGTGCATTGAAATCACCTGGATGCTTTGAAAAATAACAATGTCAGCATCCAACCTCCAGAAATACTGATTAAGTTGATCTGGAGTGGAGCCCCAGGGTCACTGTTTGGTTATTATTGTTCCTGTTTTTTTAAATGCCCCGGTTGATTCTTATGTGCAACTGTCTTAGGTAAACATAAAGCCCTGGTTCATATTATTTCTGCCTCAGTCTCTTTTATGACTGAAAAGTGACCAATGCTTGCTTCCTAATATTCTTTCCATGTGCGGTGTTAACACATTTGACCTGTACTAAGTTCCTGCAGTATTCCAATCCAAAATTTTAGTGGATACAATAAAATAAGTAGGATTCAAGAAGGCATCACATAGTTTAGTTTATCAGTTAGTGAAATGCTTACATCTGAGCCTACAGTATGAATTACATCTGTCATCTTATTTTAAATATTGACAGAATCTTTAATGATAGTGATGAATTATTGATTTATTGGTGTGATAATGGTATTTTAGTTATATTTTTAAGTTTTATTTGTAATAACTATATGTATTTATGGGGTGAGTGTGATGTTTCAGTGTAATGTTTCATTGCGTCATGATCAAATCAGGTTACTTAACATATCCATAACCTCGAACATTTATAATTTCTCTGTGGTGAGAACATTTAAAATTCTCTTTCACTATTTTGAAATATACAGTACAATATTGTTAACTTTGTTCATCTTACTATGCAGTAGAACACTAGAACTTATTACTCCTTTCAATTGATGAATAGATAGTTTTGGATCAAGAATAATATTGAAAGTGATAGAATTTATGAAGTAATTTAATTTGTATCCAAACATATTTTGAAATTGAATATATTGCTTCCAAATAATTTATTACAATGTTAAGATATTTGTAAATTTCTAGAATTTAAAAAAATATATATTCTTAGGAAAGGAAATGCTAATCGTCCAAAATAGTTTCTTTACCTTTCTTTTAATCAAGAAATATATTCACTTTAAATGGAAAAATTGCAACCTTCAGTTTAAAATCATCTTTTTTATTGAGCATGTTTAAAAAATTTTGTGGGTACATGTTAGGTGTATCTATTAATTTTTATTTGTTAATTGAAACTAAACTCTACAAATGCCAGAAACTATCAGAATATCTTTGTCAGTATAACCAAAAAATATATGCTGTATCTCTACAATCTGTTTTATATCATCCATTTATTTTTCTTGATCCGTATTTTTTACCTGCAGGCGATTTGACAGATCTGTTGAGAAATGGCGGCGTTTTCATTATGATATAAAGATATTTAATCAGTGGCTAACAGAAGCTGAACAGTTCCTCAGAAAGACGCAAATCCCTGAGAATTGGGAACATGCTAAATACAAATGGTATCTTAAGGTAAGTTTTTGATTTGTTTTTTTTTTTTCTAAATTGTGTTTATCTTCATCACATCTGGACTGTTTAATTTCTTTAAGTTCAGGTTGTGAAGGATGATGGAAATGACCACTTTTGACTTTTGTTGTCGTCATTATACATACTAGAAAGAAAATTATAATGGTAATATTAGAGAACTGTGCTGTGGACTTTTTGTGTCAGGATGAGAGCGTTTGCCTGGACAGGACTGGTTTATCTGATAAACTGCAAAATAGAATTGAATCTGTGACAAAAGGGAGCATCGTAACAGCAAGGTGTTTTGTGGCTTTGGGGCAGTGTGTATTTTTGCCGTATGTTGGAACCGTTCCAGAAGGAGAACTTGTGGCATACTTAGCTATAATGAAGTTGCTAGAAATATCCATCATGATAAAATTACAGTTCTGTTTCCCTAAAGACAATTTGTAGTGATACTGCCATATTTCTATATATTCTATTGACAAAATGCCTTTTGAAATAGTCCAGAGGCCAAAACAATGCAGAGTTAATTGGTGGTACTTATTGACTTTTTTATGGTTTATGTTAATAGAGAAGCAACAAATGGATGATAACCAGTGTATAGTTTAATTTCAACTTGTTGTGTCCTTTGAATATGCAGGTAAAGATAGATTAGATTGTCAAGGATATAATTTGGTTCCTAAAATATATAGTTTAGGCATAAGAAACATTGTGTTTATTACACAAAGGCTTAATTATGTTTGCATCTTTTTTTAGCTCAAATTGTTCATGTTGCAGTAGTCAATCAAGTGGATTTGAATTGTAGCCAATTTTTAATGCCAGAAAATACTGATTAAGACAGATGAGGGCAAAAAACACTCAGTAGTTTATTAAATAGTTTAGATATTTCAAAATGCTGGATTCACAAAAGCAATATCACATTTGACTTTACAGTCTTCATTCTCAAATATGTTTCTATAGTGAATATGCCTTTTGATATTAAGGAGTTAAGCATTTAAATGCCTATGTGTATGATAAGCTATCTAAACACAGAAAATGAATATTTTAAAAATCTTGTGTAATCATATATATATCAATCAAACTTGTATGCACACCAGCATTGGCATTTGTATAGAGAGGAAATGTATGGATTCTCAATCTGCTTTAATATAGAAGATACATTTTAAAAATAGCACTGAAGTGAATTTTGGGCTAATGCAGCATAATGGGGTCTCTGCCTGAGAGGCAGAAATATATTAGAGTTATATAAAATGTTTTAGGGGAGACATAGAAACTACTTGCCATTTTCAATGATATCCAACCCATGGTAGTTATATATTTTAATTTATATTTTATTATACAATTAGTACTTATTGTGAAAAAAATCAAGCAACATAGAAATGTATAAAAGAAGTACCTCCATTCTACTCTTTGGAGGATAGTTATTCCGTATGGATTTTGGTACATATTTCAGGTTGGGTTTCTTGGAAAGCCATTGTAAAATGGAGATTTGTATGTAGAAGGTTTATTAGGGAGTACTTTTACGATCAAGCAATTTGTTTTGTCGTAACTTGGTGTAGTCCACAGTTTTCTTCATGTTCCTTGTTCTTGAAGTCAGTTAAGCTCTTGAATCTGTGTATTTAACATTTCATCAAATTTAGAAAGCTTTCAGCCATTTTTTTTAAAAAAAAATGGGACTCCAATTGTACATTTATTAGGCTCCTGAAAACTGCCCCCACTACTCACTGATGTTATGTTCATTTTCTTTTTAGTCTCGTTTCTCTGTAATTCATTTTATATAATCTCTATTGTCAAATAGACTCATCTTTTTCAAAGTCTAATCTATGGCTAATCCCATGTAGTATATATTTTTAACATCAGATATTTTCATTTCTTAGAAGTATAATTTGGGTCTTTTTTATTTCTTCCATGTGTCTACTCAACATGTTCAGTCTTTACTTTCTTGATTATATGGAATACAGATATAATAACTGTTAGAATATTCTTCTCTACTAATTTTATCATCTGTGTCTATTCTGGGTTAATTTAAATGGATGTATTTTTCTCCTCATTAAGGGTGTTATTTTACTGCTTCTTTGGATGACTGGTAATTTTTGATTATATGCCAGACACTGTAAATTTTAACTTATTGAGTGCTTGATACTTCAAATAAATTCAAATATATTGAAATAAATATTCTTAACCCTTGTTCTGGAACCCAGTTAATTTACTTGGAAACAATTGATCTTTTGATAATCTTCCTTTTATGCTTTGTTAGTTATGACCAGAACAGTGTAAGTTTAGGGCTACTTTTTCCCCGCTACTGAGGCAAAACCCTTCTGAGTACTCTCTTTGATGCCCTGTGAATGATAAAATTTTTCACTGGAGCTTGTGGGAACAGGTGGTATTCTTAGCCACATGTGAGCTCTGGTGATTGTTCCCTTTAATTCTCTTGTGTAGTTCTTTCCTTAGCTTTGAGTGGTTCTCTCACATATATGAACTGATCAAGACTCAGCTGAAGAATAAAATAAAGCTTTCTGCAAATGTCTAAAATGTCCTCTGCATGTGTATGACCTCTCTGGTATTTTGCCCTGTGATCACTAGTCAACCTTGGGCTGCTGAAACTCTCAGCTTCATCTTTTAACAAAAGCCTCTTGGCAGGGACCACTGTCCTCCAATGTCTGATGTTCAGTATGTTGAAAACCATTGTAGCATATGTTTTGTCTTTTTTCTTTTTTTAAGTGTTTCAGCCAGGAGGTTAAGTACAGCCTTTTTTACTCCAACTTGGAAACAAGTCCAAAACAAACTATTTTGATGTAATTTGATCTTTTAATACATTAACGTTATACAATTTTGTGAATATATCATAACTTTAAGTTTCCACAGACTGTCTAATGGTCCTCATTTCTTGACAGTGTGGCTTAGTTGCAATTTATGAACATTTTATCAGAACTTTTTCCCTCAATTGGATAATTTTTTCTTTTTTTTTTGAGATGGAGATTTGCTCTTGTCGCCCAGGCTGGAGTGCAGTGGCAGGACCTCAGCTCACTGCAACTTCTGCCTCCAGGCTTCAAGCGATTCTCCTGCCTTGGCCTCCCGAGTAGCTAGGATTACAGGTGCCCGCCACCACGCCTGGCTAATTTTTGTATTTTTAGTAGAGACGGGGTTTCACCATGTTGGTCAGGCTGGTCTAGATCTCCAACCTCAGGTGATCTGCCCATCTCAACCTCCCAAAGTGCTGGGATTACAGACATGAGCCACCATGCCCGGCCAATTGGATAATCTTAAAAAGACTATTTTATTTAGTCTATTTTTTTCTCAATCTGTAGATGAAATAAGAAAAATCATTCTAGATGTCCAAGGAAAAATTCTTTCAGAAAAGAGCTGTGAATGCCATCACAAATCCCCCAAACAGTTAAGGTATTTCTTTCCTGGTTATTTTATGTCCAAAATCATGCATATGAACATGTGCACACACACATGCACACACATGAGTGTGCACACACATGAGTGTGCACACACATGAATACATATACACGTACATAATATACCTTAGGTTATCTTTCCATTCTGAGTAATTATCTTAAAATGGGTAAAATAAACCCTGTAAGATACCTTCATCGATAAGGCAAATCAAAGCTTTGGTAATTTCAGCTATCTTGACCATTGTTGATTGACTAATAACGAATAGGAGAATGAGTTTAAATATTTACTATGAAATTATTTTAGAAAACAGGATGTAGACAGTGGCTGTTAGCAGACAATTGTTTGGCATGAGCCAGTAATGGTTACTGTGAAAAAAGTGAACCAAGCAGCCCATATATTAAACAAATACACTCAGAAACATGTTGGAATTTGAAGCCTCATATGTACAATTTTCAGTAAAGAAATAATTTTTAGACATGAAATACAACATAGGGGTATGTTGTAAACTTGTCCCTATATATTTTGATCAAATTGCATCTTTTCTTTTTCACTTTAAAAAAGAGAATTTAGTGCTTTAACTGAGGCTTAGTGTTGTCATTCAAAATGTACTGACTGCCAATAGCAGCAGAAAGATAATCTGGTTCCATGCAACTCTTTTTTTTCCCTCTGTCACGAGTAAAAGACAAAATTAAATATATGAATTAGTGCTTTTTGAAGATATTCCAAAGCAATATACCATGCCACTATGGAGAACCTCTCTAAAAATACCACATTGTTTTTCTGAGAAAAATATCAATCATGTTATATGCCACTCAAAATGGTTTATTAATAAATTCATTGAATGATATCAGTATCTCTTAATGCATTCACTAAACAAGCAGTAATTGAGTGCATATACGAAGTTTTATCATCCACCAAAATAGTGATAATCCACATTAGGCTCTAATAGAAGTTTAGCAGAGGGGTTAAGAGGTTAAATGCTGGACTCAGAAAGATTGGATTCAAATCCCACGTTCTTTAGCTTAATAATTGTAGAATCTTGTGAAAATATCTTAATTCTTTTCATGTCTCTGAAATATTTTCTCTAAAATGGAAATATAAATGAGATGTGTATAAAACCACTTGGAATAGCATTTTTCACAAAATAATTGCTCATTAAATGTAAGCCCCTATTGTTACTAATCACTCTTTATAAGTGATTAGTTCATTTCAATACAAACTAAAACTTATGTACTGAATTATTATCTCTAAACATCCACAATGCAGAAAAACCAACCTGGGAATTTCATAAAACCTTATTTTTATGTAGTAGAATTTCTTCTCAAAGCATAGCTCTTGGATTAGGAATTGAGGAAAATTCCAATTCAGCCAAATGCATCTGTTTCAGATAGCTGACACTTCTGCCTACTCATTTCCTAACTAACAAGAAGAAATGTTAATGGGAGTTTTCAAAGGAAAAGCTGAACACCATGAAGGAAAGTGACACAAATAATGTTAGCTCATATAGTGACAGGGTGAATTTGTGTGCTTTCAAGTACCTTCAGTGAAAATAGGAAAGTAGAAATTATAAAATGCCCTAACATTTAAATCTAGCATGTTCTTGT